CATATATATATATATATATATATATATATGATTTGCTTAAATATTTACATAATTTAGCACATTTTCCATGTAGTTCTCATTACCATAATGCAAATAAAAAAAATAAACAAACATATAAATATATACATAATAAAATTAAATTATGCAAAAAATATATATATTTGATTTGTATAGTATTTTTAGACCATTATTATATATAGAATTTGTTGTATTGCCTTTAAAATGCTGATTTAAATGGAAAAATAATCACCAGTGAGAGCAATGAGAATTAAAGTAGAAATTCTTTTTTATAATAATAAACTGTAATGATAAAAATTTTAAAAACAAACAAAAAAAAAAACCTTAATGGAACCCTGTAAAAAAAGGGTTCCGGAATTTCAATGAATTTTCCCATCAGATAATGAATCACTGTTTACACTGTGTAGTAAATATTTGCGTGGGGATTGAGAGAGACATCATATTAAACAAAAAACACATATTTGAGTTTCTAAACAAAGATCTTTGCTAACTGCGACATTCAACACAAATGTAAACATTAGAATAAACAACTAGAATCTCTCCCACCTCCTGAATGGTCATGTAGGCATCGCCGAGTAACAGGAAGGTATGAGGGCTCGGCAATTTGTCCACCAAATCCCTGATGAGAAGAGATACATTAATGTTCTGCATGAATACAAGTGTCTGATGATTGTTTGCACAGGTGTATCAGAGCTTGCGTTAAAGCTTGTCAACACATATAAATACCAACCTAGAGAGGCAGGCCTTGTGTTACACACCTAAACAAACAGGTCACTTAAACACTATCACTATTATCACACAAATTACTTTGTTTGATGAATTACAGTTACAGTTATAATATTTTAGGGAAAATGGGATTGTCATGAAATATTAAGTTGAATATGCAAAAAAAAATCATGTAATATAGTAATTATGTATTATTATTATGCAATAATTATGTAGCATACGTTTTATGTAAAGTATATGTGACCCTGGACCACAAAACCAGTCATAAGATTTATACATCATCTGAAAGCTGAATAATTAAGCTTTCCATTGATGTATGGTTTGTTAGCATATGACAATATTTGGCCGAGATACAACTATTTGAAAATCTGGAATCTGAGGGTGCAAAAAAAAAAATCACAATATTGAGAAAATCATCTTTAAAGTGGTCCAAACTAAGTCCTTAGCAATGCATATTACTAATCAAAAATTAAGTTTTGATATATTTATGGTAGGAAATTTACAAAATATCTTCATGGAACATGATCTATACTTAATTTCCTAATGATTTTTGGCATTAAAGAAAAATCGATAATTTTGACCCATCCAATGTATTGTTGGCTATGGTTACAAATATACCCCAGCGACTTAAGACTAGTTTTGTGCTCCAGGGTCACATGTTGTTTTGATTTTAAGGTAAAATGTAACCTGGACATGAATTTATGATATTCACCCATATACTGTGAAAAACATATTCTGTAAGCTATAATACATGTAGTGACTATGAGGAGTAAATTTGACAAATGAAAATGCATTACCTATAGCAGCTCACGTAAAGGCGTTTCTCTTTCCTGTGGTTCAGGTAGATGTCTGCCATTTTTTCTTTGGCCTGTATATAGTAGGGCTGCTCTGGCGTGATGTTTCTGAGCATGCTCAGTGCCAGCTCCGTATCTCCTCGCATTAGCGCCAGGTCTGCATTGGCAATAGTAACTCGAAGCTCTTCTGGAGTGCCAGTGAACTCATTTATGGCATCCTGCATCATTTTAGCTGCCTCGTGCTGGAATTCAGAACAACTTTTAACCCCAAAAACAAAGCACTAGCAAACACAATATTAATTTTACTACAATACAGACCAAAATAACACTAATAAACCACACAATGTTATTAAATAGTGAAGATTTATTAAAGGAATAGTTCACCCAAAAATGAAAATAATGCTCAAATTTACTCACACTCCAGCCATTCAAGATAGATGAGTTTGTTTCGCCATCAGAACAGATTTGTAGATGTGTAGCATTGCATCACTTGCTCACAAGTGGATCCTCTGAAGTGAATGGGTGCCGTCAGAATGAGAGTCCAAACAGCTGATAAAAACATCACAATAATCCACAAGTAATTCACACCACTCCAGACCATCAACTAACATCTAGTTAAGTGAAAAGCTGCATGTTTATAATAAACAAATCCATCATTAACACATTTTTAACTTCAAAACGTTGCTTCCAGATAAAATACGAGTCCTCTATTCATAATACTGCTTTCTATAGTGAAAAAGTTGTCCTGTCTGAATCAGGAGAGAAATATACACAGGTCAAGCACCGTTCACTAGTGAAAACAGCCCAAAACAGTTCTAATTAAATATGTCAATGGATTCTGACATATTAGCATATGACAATATTTGGCCGAGATACAACTATTTGAAAATCTGGAATCTGAGGGTGCAAAAAAAAAAATCACAATATTGAGAAAATCATCTTTAAAGTGGTCCAAACTAAGTCCTTAGCAATGCATATTACTAATCAAAAATTAAGTTTTGATATATTTATGGTAGGAAATTTACAAAATATCTTCATGGAACATGATCTATACTTAATTTCCTAATGATTTTTGGCATTAAAGAAAAATCGATAATTTTGACCCATCCAATGTATTGTTGGCTATGGTTACAAATATACCCCAGCGACTTAAGACTAGTTTTGTGCTCCAGGGTCACATGTTGTTTTGATTTTAAGGTAAAATGTAACCTGGACATGAATTTATGATATTCACCCATATACTGTGAAAAACATATTCTGTAAGCTATAATACATGTAGTGACTATGAGGAGTAAATTTGACAAATGAAAATGCATTACCTATAGCAGCTCACGTAAAGGCGTTTCTCTTTCCTGTGGTTCAGGTAGATGTCTGCCATTTTTTCTTTGGCCTGTATATAGTAGGGCTGCTCTGGCGTGATGTTTCTGAGCATGCTCAGTGCCAGCTCCGTATCTCCTCGCATTAGCGCCAGGTCTGCATTGGCAATAGTAACTCGAAGCTCTTCTGGAGTGCCAGTGAACTCATTTATGGCATCCTGCATCATTTTAGCTGCCTCGTGCTGGAATTCAGAACAACTTTTAACCCCAAAAACAAAGCACTAGCAAACACAATATTAATTTTACTACAATACAGACCAAAATAACACTAATAAACCACACAATGTTATTAAATAGTGAAGATTTATTAAAGGAATAGTTCACCCAAAAATGAAAATAATGCTCAAATTTACTCACACTCCAGCCATTCAAGATAGATGAGTTTGTTTCGCCATCAGAACAGATTTGTAGATGTGTAGCATTGCATCACTTGCTCACAAGTGGATCCTCTGAAGTGAATGGGTGCCGTCAGAATGAGAGTCCAAACAGCTGATAAAAACATCACAATAATCCACAAGTAATTCACACCACTCCAGACCATCAACTAACATCTAGTTAAGTGAAAAGCTGCATGTTTATAATAAACAAATCCATCATTAACACATTTTTAACTTCAAAACGTTGCTTCCAGATAAAATACGAGTCCTCTATTCATAATACTGCTTTCTATAGTGAAAAAGTTGTCCTGTCTGAATCAGGAGAGAAATATACACAGGTCAAGCACCGTTCACTAGTGAAAACAGCCCAAAACAGTTCTAATTAAATATGTCAATGGATTCTGACATAAGAGGACAACAAGGGATAGACTTTTCACTGGAGAGGAAGCATTATTCTGGATTATGGCCAGTAGCACAGGTTCATTGTGGACTTGTTTCTTATAAACACACAGCGTTTGGCTTCACAAGATGTTAATTTATGGACTACTGTTGTGTGGATTTCTTGTAAACTATTGTGCTGTTTTTATCAGCTGTTTGGACTCTCATTCTGACGGCACCCATTCACTGCAGAGGATCCATTGGTGAGCATGCTCCATTTCTCCAAATCTGTTCTGATAAAGAAACAAACTTGATTCTTGGATGGCCCGAGAGTGAGCAAATTTTCAGCAACTTTTCATTTTTGGGTGAACTATTCCTTTAAGGAAATGAATAAATGTTTGGGGAAAAACAGTTTTAACGTTAACCGCTAACCTGTTCTCCATTGAGCCACAGAGCCTCAGCTAGTTCCAGGAACACAGATACGCAGTCGGCCGAGCTGAGCTCAACTCTCTTACTCTGTCTTTTGGTTGAGGAGCCCACTCTCTTCACGGCACACAGACTCATGGCCATCTGCAGCGTCTGAATGGCCTCCTGAAGCTGCCCCATCTTCCTTTGAGCCTGAGCTTTTATCAGGTGATACAGAGGATGCTCGCGGATCTTAGCACAAACAAACCACATATTCAGTCCCATCAAATCAATACATCTAAACTGGTTTCCTTCTGCAGTTCAGTATGGCTGGCAGTGGTTTTGTGTCACCTCAAAGTTGTGGCTGAGGCAGAGTTCCAAAGATTGGGAAGAGAGCTTGAAGTTGCCCTGCACGAGATGGATCTGAGCCATGAGGAGATGGGCGTCAGCATGGGCTGGGTTCTGATCCAAACAGTGCTGCAGGCTGCTCTGGGCCGCCTCGATATCTCCTGTAGGACAACATATGAAGAGAGCATAAACCTGGCTAACTGAATAAATTGGTCAAAAATAAGAAATTATATCTTATATTAAAAAAAGTGATTGGACCATTTTTGCATTGTAACATTATTATTTGCATGATAAAATAATACATTTTTTAGTGTTTTATTATTATTATTATTATTATTATTATTATTACTTCCCATTATCATCATCTGTAAAATAACAGTTTTATTTAAATTAACAAGACAACAAATGCTGTATAAAGCACTTTGCAATTTAAACAATATATGATTTTTCCCCCCATTACAGTAATGAGAATAATTTTTTGTTTGCTTGTTTGCTTTTTTTAGATTTTATGTGGGGGGGCAATTGTTTATTTGTCATGAATTATTAATATTTTATATTTGCCAAAATATAGTTTCTTCTTATTTTTTTTCTTTTGATTTTTGGGGTGAAATATTACTTGGAAGCAGTCTTAATATACGGTACTCAACGAAAACTTAAACTAAAAACATAAAAAATTGTGTTACTTGAAACAATATAAACGTTAACTAAAATAAAATGGAAGTACAAAATAGCAACATTTATCATTTTCATTTAGTTTAACTTTATGTACTAAAATAATTAAATTGTTAATTGAAATAAAAATTAATAAAAACTATACAGATATATTAGAAAACAAGAAATAAAAATGACAAAAACATACAAAAAATACTAAAACTTTGTCTAAAATTTAAATTAAAATATAAAATCCAAAAATAAAAACTAACTTAAAATATTCATAAAAAAACATAATATCTCAGTCATACTAAAATAATACTGCCTGTGTGAAAGAAGTTTGAGAGATTCACCCAATTAGATCAAGCCAACAATGTTATGATGTCTGATACAAGATACCAATACAATCATACGAATCAGAAAATAGAACTCAGCCATGCACACACCTGACTGAAATCTGACTTTGGCCATTAGAAAGACAGCCTGCAGCAGTCCAGGCACTACTTTGACCACCGTGTCCAGCACAGATGCACAGTGCTGCAGCTGAGGTGCAGGAGGCTGACCTGGAGCTGGAGCCTACAGAGAAAACAACATCAGCCAATAAACTACACAAGCAATCTTCATCAAGACTCACTCAGAATCAAGGCTGCACAAAAGACAGTTGCTAGGATGTTGTTAGGCAGCATACAGTGTGTTGTGATTGTTTGCAAGGCAGCGCAAGGGAGGGAAGACCTTGGCAGGAGACAGCGCCAGGTATTCCTTGGCGATCTCCAGCAGGAAGTCAGGGTCGAGCTTCTCAAAGTACTCAACGCTGAGAGGCAAACCCTGCAGGACGGAAAAGTGTGTGTCCACAGTGTCGTTTAACAGATTGGTCGCCTCGTCTGGGGGCCGACGCTTTTTCACAGCCAACAGCGCCCGTAGATACAACAGCTCCTAACACACACAATCACACAGGTTAATCAAGCCTTAAAGATGATTCTGTTTATCGTGTGCTTTAAGACCATGTCATGTGCTAATGAATCTGTTCACTAATGTTGTACAGTTTAATTCCTCAGGCAAAGCTCAAAATAATAAAGAAAGAAGCTTCATTTTTGTTATACATCTGTTCATCTACAAATACAACGTGGCAGCTGCTTTTCGCTAAGCAGATGTGCGTGTTTGTATAAGCGTGCGCTAAACTGAGTCTCGGTTCATGTAAACAGGCTCTGTTACGCACTGTGGATGACCCAATGGGTAAACACAACATCAGTGGATTAATAAACCAGATCGCTGTTGAATCTAAATCAAAGATAGATATTATTCTACAAAAATGCTTTTCTTTATCTTTTTATTTAATTCTGTGGAAATATTCTGGAAATGGTCTCTGTGTAACATTGTTCCAAGAGCTCACATAGTTTTTTTAAAGCAGCACTATGTAGTTTTTCGACCTTAAAATAATGTCTCTAAAATTATTTCAGTGGTAGAACAACTCTTCACCGGACGAATTGTACTGCCGCTGCTACCTGAGCAGCCTCCTAGCAGCTAAAACCAGACTCTGTAAGTTTCGTGATCGGTTCACAATTTATAACCGTAAGGTAGCCGAGAGGTAAGGTAATGTTGCCGGTCTCGATAGCTTGCACGTTATGATCTTTCGATAGCTAGCATGTCGTGCCTCGTCTCGAATTTATTTACGACACTGGTAACAGACAATTGCACTTATCAACCACATGGGGAAACCGTGAGCAAAAGTTACATAGTGCTGCTTTAAGATAACATAATAAGTCATTGAAATGGTTTCTCACCCCTGATTTGCCAATGGACTGCTGGATCTCTGCTAGGAATTCCAGCTGCTGTTCTGCATCCTCTATGTGTCCCTCCATGAGCTGACACCTGATGATACCTGCACAAACAACAAACCCCAAAACCACTCATTTAAATGTTCTTTCTAGTAATGCATTTGAAACATTTAAACGTCACATATTTTACACCTTTCTGGAGTTTTATTTTAAGTATCGATGTCCTTAAGAATTTATATTTGCGGTATAAGTACCAAAAACCATCTCAATTTATTTTTACAGCTCCTTTCTCAGGAGCTCTGCACATAACAGGTCGATTTTGGCCTGTCTAATTAATATTCATGAGCTTCTCTTCTGATTGGCCTATTGATTTCTGAGTGACGCACAACCAGGCCAACCACAGGTAACTGGGGTCATGTATGCTGTAGCCTGCTGTGGATTGGTGATACTCACAAGTAAGGTCAATAGAAACACCGGTAATGATATGTCCGGCCTTACATGTTTGAGCTGAACTCAGACCCTGAATCGGCGACGACAGGAGGCAACCAACCACCTTCTCAAACGCACTTACAACAGGATGTTTCAGAATGGTAATTTAATTCATGGTTTTTTTTTTTCAAACACCGAATGCAGTAAATAAAAACCTGACCAGCCGAGCGTTTGCGATTACGTGAACTTGAAGACACTTGTACAAATGCTGATGGGTGACATGAATGGAAATTATTCCATGGTGGTGACTGAAGGCGGTGACTGTGTAGTTCTGACGTCACCTTTTTACGGAAGTCACAACGGTTCGTGAAAAATCACAGCTACTTTATGCAGGCTGTGTGCATTTGACTGGGGATTGACTGTCTTGAAACTTATATGGTAGTTACATAGCACCTAGACCTCAGTTAAGCCCAATTTATACTTCTGCGTCGGACCTACGCCGTAGCTTACGCATAGACGCACACCCATACACCATAGCCTGATGTGCACCTCTCCAAAAATCTAACAGCGCGTCAATTCTATGCAGACCACAAGCGCAGTGATTGGTCTGCAAGAACCCCTCCCTCCATATGTACGAAAGTTTTGTGTGTTTATGTGCACTTTAATATATTTTAATGATACACCTTCTTATATAAAATAAAACAAAGCAAAGAACAAGTGTCTTATCATTTATTATACTACATAGCATTATACATCAGTAGTTGTCCGCAACAATGTTGATCTGCCGTGGTACAAGTCCTTGTGCAGATTGAAAGAAAGCCACCATCTCCTGTTCCGTCGTTGTCTCCTTTTTGTAGTTTTAAATAATGATTTAATGATTTGATATTTATTTGCCGCCGTCACGACTATAATGCTTCTCCGACGAGCCGCTTCTTCTTCGGCTTTTGCTGTGGTACTGCGGGTTACACCAGCAACATGCCCGTGGACACTGCTGACTAGCGGTTTGCATGTGTACTGCACGTTGACGCGGACAACGACGCAGAAGTATAAATTAAAACTGACGCATAGCCTACGGCGTGAAGGCTACGGCGTAGGTCCGACGCAGAAGTATAAATCAGCCTTTATCATGAAAAAAGCCAGGAAATTTCAGTTTTGACAATATGGGACCTTTAAAAAAAAATACGGAAGGCATGCTAGACAGCTAGACTTGATAGTACTTTTTAATTTTTTTAATTAGCTTTTATTTTTACATTTTCAGTTTGTTTTAGTAATTGTTATTTACATTTGTATTATTTTTTTTTTATAATTCTATTTAGATTGAATTGATTTATATTTCAATTTTAGTTTTAGTCATTTTAAGTACATCCACTTATTTATTTCTTTTAGTTGGTTTTAAAGTGCCCCTATTATGGATTTTTGAAAATGACCTTTCATGCAGTGTAACACAGCTCTAAGTGAATGAAAACACCCTGCAAAGTTTTAAATCTGAAAGTGCACCGTGTATAAAGTTATTGTCTCTCAAAAGAAAGAGTCGACTCTGAATCATTGAACCGAGTCGTTTTTAAAACGAACCCCAAGCCGTTTCATGTTGACGTCAACATGAAACATTAGCATATTGCCCGCCCACTTGTTGGTCTGAATAAAAATGCAAATTCATTCTTTGCCACTATGTGCCGCTTTTGGAGCGGTAAAAACAGCTGTTTCCGGCTGTAAACAAAGCAGCATTGTGCTCACAAACGCAGCTTTTATTATGAAATGGAAATGGAATCGACCAATCGGACCAATCACCGCAGATTAGCGTCACGCAAAGGAGGGGTTTGGGGAAATGAATCGCTGATCGAATCGTTTGGGAGTCGTTGAGCAAGTAAGGTAAAAATAAATGCATATTATAAGACAACTAAAGTGTTTTTTGACCTTGCATGCATGTCAGCCTGTTGTTGGGGACTCCCAAAACCAAAATATGAACCTTTCATTACCAATAATAAGGGCACTTTAAATGTTTAAGCTTTTATCTGATATTTATATTTTCTTTCAGATTCATATTAATTACCCAAAATGATTTTTAATAGTTTTAGTAAACAATCACACACTGATCCTAGACAGTCTTTTAATGAAGTTTCAAGTTGCAGCAAGTTTTCTTTAATTGATAGTTTGATTTGAATCACTCACATCAATTCAATGCAAATGTGTAAAAGATTGCTTTTATGAATTGACAGCAACAGCAATTACTAAAGACAGACAATATATAAATACAGGTATTGATGATTAAAATCGTTTTTAAAGACATTTAAAAAAAAAAATTTTCATACAGTAAATAATTCATTAGTATAACTGTAGGCTGTTTTCAGTTGCCACTTTGCACATTAATACGTATATAATTTGTTGTCACAGATGTGCATTTAAAGACATTTTACAAAGGCTTTGAATGCGACTTATTCATCATAATTTATTTGATAAGCCCTCTTTATGTCTTTCAAACTGCTCTTACCTATCAAAGCGGAGACGCTGCCCTCATCGAGAGTCATTGCTGTCTTGTACCATTTCATGGCCTCCTTCACCCTTCCCAGAAGGACCAGCTGGTAGCCCATCTCTGTGGCCAGTTCAGAGTCGCTCGAGGCCTGTGCAAATGCCCGCTCCACCATCCTGTGAGTGTGCTGAAGGACCTTCTCAGCTCTTCCACACTGCAGAGGGATCAGATATTCACATCAACACATCTATCTGCAGCATCATTTCTTTTATGAAACAACAGCTTATCAAAACATGTTATTTCCTGCTCAGTATGGTTTCACTTGTGAGCATGTCACGTTTATATATAACAGCATGTGGCAAATCCGTCTGGTTTGTGATGTGCAGGATTCTAATCTTCAAGTTCAAATGAATATTAAGTTGTGCGTCCATGGATGAGTATTACCACTCGAGTGAACGCTAAAGACATCCTGTAGAAGAGCTCTGGATTGTTCGGTTCTTGAATGTCCAGATTACTGATCAGATTTGATAGTTGATTTACACACTGAAAAAAGAAGAAAGACAATGAATGAGAATCCTTAAAGAGAGAGAACTATATATACACAACCATTCAAAAGTATGAGGTCGGTAAATCTTTTAATGTTTTTGAAATAAGTCTCTTCAGCTCTCCAAGGCTGCATTTATCTGATCGAAAATACAGTAAATACAGTGACATTGTGAAATATTATTACAATTTAAAATTTGTGATGCAAAGCTGAATTTTCAGCATCATTACTCCAGTCTTCAGTGTTACACGATCCTTCAGAAATTATTCTAATATGCTGATTTGCTGCTCATTTCTTATTATTATCAACGTTGAAAATAGTTGTGCTGCTGCACATTTCTGTGGAAAGCGTGAGACATCAGGATTCTTTGATGAAAGAAAAAATGTTTTACAGTCATTTTAATGGGATTTAATGTCTCCTTGCTGGATAGAAGTATTAATTTCTTGCAAAATAAATAAATGAACAAATCTTACTTTTGAAGAAGCAAACTTTTGAATGACTGTGTATGTATTCACTAATTCATAATCAAATTTATATTCCCAAAATATGATTCACAATGACACCACTCAAATTCATAAATGTTGACTGTTTTTACATTTACAAATTAAATGTTGAATCCGAATCGTCAAACATCACCGTATATCAGATTTCGAGACTTTTCTGACAGGTTTTGATCACAAACACATCCAAAATATGAAGCAGAACTTCATGAAGGACTTATGCCAGGTTGAAGTCTAATAACTCAACAGGCACACAATTTAATGCAGTATTCTTGTGACATACACTTTTCATTGCGATCCACAGACTATCTGATCCCATAAGGAATGACTTTTCTGGCATTTAATTGGAGTAAACGCACATATGTTTGTAATGTCAAACCTCTCCAACATCTCCTTCCCTGCAGAGAGAGTGCAGCGCCAGCATCCTCAGAGCCTCCAGGTTATTTTTATCTCGCTGGAGAAGCCTGAAGTTCAGAAAATGAAATTAAAGTCAAAGTCTGTTGAGGTGTAAAACAGATGTTCTGAGATGTCTTTGCATAAAGCATTTTTTCCCTGAATATTTAAGATATACATTTTCAATATCCATTATAAACATTACTTTATTCTGTGACAAACACCACATTATAAACTTTTCTGCTTGTTTATTTCAGGGAAACTCAGCTCACAAATATCACCTGCTCTATCAGAATCAGAATGAGCTTTATTGCCAGGTATGTTTACATATACGAGGAATTTGTTTTAGTGACAGAAGCTTCCACAGTGCAACAGAATGACAGTGACAAGACAAGACACAGATAATAAAAGAACAGTGTTGGGAGTAACGCATTACAAAAGTAATAATATTACAGGCTTTTCTCCTTCAGGGCCTCGTCAAAGTATTTCCCAGACTTCTTTGCATAGGCATCTTTGTTAGATCGTAGATCAATCCAGCCTTTCAGTACAATTCCCTACAAAACAATGATCCCAATATTAAATAAACAGCAAAATATGTGGACAATCTGGAAATCATCAGTGTTATTAGTTATCATAGAGATACTTTTATAGTTTTTAATAATCTTTTGAATTAGATTGTCATTTTTCGTTTTCATTTTAATTAGATTTTTAGCAATTGTGTTGTTTTTTTAATATTTGTTTTATTTATTTTTATTTATTATTTCAGCACATGAAATTAAGTTAACTAAATAAAAATGAAAAAGGTTTATGTTTTTTTTTTTTTTACTATAATAGCCCTGATAACCACTACATTTAAAGGAGCCATACTATACTTTTGGAGCCCTGACGTTTAAATAAATATTAATATATATTTTTTATGAACTGAAACAGTCATAGTGTTATATGATCACCATGAATGAACAGGCCAAATTTAAAAATGCATCTTGCTGGCATAATTTGCAAGATGCAGAACTTTTTCCCGCTATTAGACTTATGCTTATATGATGCAGGCAGATTGATCAGTCCTTTCGCCATCATGAAAAGCTGCCTCAGCAGAAATCTAAAGGGTAGATGCATTAGAAAAGTTCACCTCTTTAGAGCCACTGGAGATCTTGATCATTCTGTCCACATACTCTCTGGCTTTGTCATTGCGACCCAGCAGCCACAGCAGCATGCCAGCGTAATACAGAGCTTTGGGACTCGCCGTCTTCCTCTCCTCCTTCACCCTTCCATCCAGCTCCTGGATCACATCACGGTCTACAGGCAAGACACCTTTTGTCATTATTTATTCCCATTCATATCATTCCAACCCTGTACGCTAATACATTTTCCATGCAACACAAAGGATTTTTAAAGAGACATTTAATACTGACATCACAAGTAATCCGCACAACTCCAGTCCATCAGTTAACATCTTGTGATGTAAAAAGCTGCATGTTTGCAAGAAACAAATCATTAAGATGTGTTTAGCTTCAAACCCTTGCCTCTGGCTAAAATACAAGTCTTTGCTTTCTTCGGTGAAAAGGTCATCTCGTTTGAATCAGGAGAGAAATATGCAGAGATCAAGCACCGTTTACAAATTAAAACAGCTATTAAAAATAGCTCTGAGCAAATATGTGGGTAGATTTTGATGTGAGACGACAACAGAGGATACGCTTTTTCACTGGAGGAAGCATTTTTATGGATTATAGACTTATGCCAGAAGCAACGGTTTAAAATTAAAATGCCTTAATGATGGATTTGTTTCTTAGAAACATGCAGCTTTTCACTACATAAGATGTTAACTGATGGGCTGGAGTGGTGTCTGTGGATTACTGTGTGTGATGTTTTTATCCGCTTTTTGGACTCCATTCTGACGGCACCCATTCACAGTAAACTATTCCGTTAATCAAGACGTGCAAAAGATCTACCAGGGTTTGGTCTTTTCTTGTGGGCATAAACTAGAGCCATGAGCACACCGAGGGAAACGTCTCCTCTCTCCTTCAGCTGCTCCAGCTCCTGAATGGCATCCAACACTTGCTCTACAACAATAAAATAACAAAGAAAAAACAGACGCCAAGGGATTCAGATCATTTCTCAAGACATCACATGAAGACTAAGATGGGAAATGGCGGGCTTTCCTCACCTTGCATGAGCAGCCCATAAGCGTGGAGGAATGCGAAGACTGAATCATGACTGAACTTCCGTTGAGCTTCACTGGAAACATCTACAACATGACTGGAGTACTTTTCCTGGCAGTAGTATAAGATCAATGCCTGAAATTCGCAATAAATTCAACGGGGTTAACCGAAAATGTAAGTATGTCTAATAGTACACTGTGTGCACTGACTATATGTATGTGTATATTGCACACTGTCATCTGTTGAGGTCTGTATGTTTATATGTAAATTGTTTCTGCACTGTCTGGAGCACGCTCCCAAGAATTTCACTCACCAAGGCACATGTGCTGTGACAATAAAAGTGACTTGACTTGAAAATACTGTATTTTTTACGCTGATTAATTGGGTCAATCCTACTATGCAGCGCATTTTAATTATTCCAGTATACTGGAAAACCATATATTATTAAACAAGCAACTTTTCAGATCAAAACTTGACTAGTCATTTATAAAAAATAAAATATTATAGGCGTTTCTTTACTCTGTAAAACGTTCTGTATCATATGTAATACATACATTTCTAAATAAGCCTCTGATAAATGATCAACATGTCAAAACTTCGCTGTTGTATCTGTCATCTGATTGATAGTTTAGAATTTTTAGCAAGTAAATGGCCTTTTAGTTTAATTGTAAAAACATCCACCTTTAGCTTGTGGTTCACGGGTCTTTTTTCTGTGAAATCTTTTCTGATTTCATAAAGTAAACATAAGAATAACTTCTCTATTGTTAGTAATATTTCAAGATGAACACGTACTGGACTGAACTTGAAATTATTGGGCATAATTATCCGTACCAAAAAAGTGAGTTCAAACACCATAATGCTCTTGAGGAACATATTTGTTTATATCTCAATCATCATTGTGAGTATGAGCTCCATCACTATATCATATTATTATTATACGAGCCATAAAAGCTTGATGCTGCAAATATGATAACATAATAAACTGTTCCATTACTAAAATAGATTTTTCCAACTATTACTTCATGTGTCAGGCTTTACAGGGTTGCTTTTTTGTCTGAAACAGTACGTTAAGTTATGTTTCTTTGAGTATGACTGTTTCAAATGATATTTAATTTCATTTTAATTTAGTCCCTTCCTCTAACTTATGCAGATCTGAAACATCTCACAAACTACATGTATTTCCACAAAACATGCTGCATTGTTATTATTATTATGAGCACTAAACGATCATTTTTCATGACTTACAAGCGCGCATTCCTCATCATCAACCCCCGCCATAATGTCACACCCTGCATCCGTCAGAACAACCCTGGAAACATACAAAACAGACGCTTCTGTGCGGAGAGGGTCTTTCTATCCCGTTCTCGCTACCTTTGACAAGCAGATGAAGCATCATAGTAACCAAACAAACTCCGCTATTTCCGCTTGGAAACCAGGAAGTGACGACTCAGTGGAACAGTGGCGCACTTCTACTTGCTCACCGCAGGGTGGCGCCACAATCTCGTTTTTATTTGTGTGTAGCCATCAGTTACAAATATTTAGAACATGTACATTTATGAATATAGGTCACTCTTTGAACTTAGACCCTTCTCACTGTAAATGTATTATTAATCTTTTGCTATATCTTGCTACATTTTACATTCATAAGTGTACATTTTCTAAAAGAAAACTCCCTACGTTTTTTATTTTCAGGAACGATTTTGATGTGCATGTAAACTCTTTAAGAAACTCTAATAATTCTATTGCATGTAAGACTCTTTCATGGTGTGAGTCTTATAAGCTAACATAGAATGCTTTGGACTATTGTTTGTAACCCTTATTGTCTTTTGTTCTTACTTGTCTTTGTAATTGTATTTGTTGTTCTTCTATTGCATAAAAAAAAAATTATGAATATATATATTCATATGGCGTTAAAGGATTTTTAGGCTGCATTAATTAGGTCAACCAGAACCGGGAACACTTCTCATAACACCCGATGTACTTGCTACATCACTAGAAGAATGGCATCTACGCTAATATTAGTCTGTTTCTCTCTTATTCCGAGGTCACCGTAGCCACCAGATCCAGTCTGTATCCAGATCAGATGGTCACTGCTGTCACCCGGATCCAGTACGTATTCAGCCCAGATGGTGGATCAGCACCTGGAGAGGACCTCTACAGCCCTGAAAGACAGCGGAGCCCCAGATACAGATCCCCTGTAAAGACCTTGTCTCAGACGACCACCGGGGCAAGACCACAGGAACCAGACGAGTCCTCTGCACAATGTGACTTTGCTGCAGCCTGGAATTGAACTGCTGGTTCGTCTGGTCAGAGGAGAACTGGCCCCCCGACTGAGCCTGGTTTCTCCCAAGGTTTTTTCTCCATTCTGTCACCGATGGAGTTTTGGTTCCTTGCCGCTGTCGCCTCTGGCTTGCTTAGTTGAGGACACTTCATTTCCAGCGATAGCGTTGACTTGATTGCAAATGATTGCAAAGATACTATTTAAACTGAACTGAGCTGGATGTTGACATCACTGAATTGAATGATGAACTGTCTTTAACTGAAAAATGAGTGTTTACTATTGTCATTTTGCATTATTGACACTATTTTCCTAATTAATGCTGTTCAGTTGCTTTGACACCATCTGTATTGTTAAAAGCGCTATATAAATAAAGGTGACTTGACTTGACTTGTTTCTAACATCAAAAGATGTCATTTATTAATACAATATTTTATAAAAAGAACCAAATCGTTTTCTGAATTACATCTACCTTTCACCTGGTGACATAGCCTAACTCCTTCACTGAGGTGATGCTTGACTTCGGCTCTTTCCCCTTTTGCATTGATATGCATGTAAAAGTGAGCTCGGGCTGTTTTGAATAGATGCAAACTGTGCTGCTTCTGCTGTGGCGGTTCAGTCTCTGAATCTCTGAATCTCTCAGCTGAATGAGTCTCATCAGCACACGGCTGAACTGTGGTCAGAGCTGAAGTGTGTGGCTCACAGATTGCTGGTGTTTCAAAACCCATCCATCTCTGGGCACTGCACTGGTTCTCACTGAACTGGTTTTGCTTCAGGACTCAACTTCATAACTGTTACTAGGATATAAAATCAAAGTATTTACTGAAAATGTATGAACATTGGCACAAAATATGGGTTTCTAAATGTCTTTTGAATTTAATGTCATGCTATATATTTATATATAGACAGATAAATATATAGTGTCCAAAGGTTTGGGGTCGGTGAGATGTTTGTTTGTTTATTTGTTTATTTATTTGAAGTCTCCTTTGCTCACCAGGGCTGCATAATTTGGTTAAACAAATACAGTAAATACAGTACTGTTGTGAAATATTATTACAATTTCAAATAAGTGTTTTCTATTTGAATAAGGTTTAAAATTTAATTTATTGCTGTGATGCAAAGTTGTATTTTCAGCATCATTACTCCAGTCTTCAGTGTCACACGATCCTTCAGAAATCATTCAGATATGCTGATTTGCAGCTTAGGAAACATTTCTTATTATTATCAACTTTGAAAACATTGTGCTGCTTAATATTTTTGTGGAAACTGTGATGAAATACATAGATGAAAGCTCTTTTTTTTTCTTTTAAAAAATTTATAAAAAAATAAAATAAACTGTTGAACAGTATATATATGATATGATATACTTTTTTTAAAGGGGTCATAGGATGCCCATTTTCCACAAGTTGATATGGTTCTTTAGGGTCTTAATGAAAAGTCTAGCATAGTTTTAACATAGTTTGGATAAAATTTCTCAATGTTAGTGTAAGAAACACCTTTTTTTACCCTGTCAAAAACAGCTCTTTTCAGATCAAGCCGTTTTTGTAGCATTTTCCTTTAAATGTTAATGAGCACTGCTGACCCCGCCCCTCTCTTCCGAGCCGCTCTCTGAGGGACTGTTTACTTTAGCCGCATTCATCGTGAAACTTGTTAATTAGCACATTATTAGGAAAGGCGATTTGCAAAGATT